GATATTTATTTAATATTTGATTGATATTAATAAATGTTAAAAATATATAACGTACGGAACCAAACAATCATTCAATTTTAACCACCCCCCAAACAAAAAAGGATAGATACATATTGAAGGACCTTGTGAATTGATAATCCTTTTTTTATTTTTGGGTCCTTGTGAATTGATAATCCTTATGTGGCTTACATCAGTTGTGAAGCAAAGTTTAGGAGATGAACCATGCAAAAAAAATGATATATATATATATATGGACTCGACTCACAGATAATAACCAGCAAAGAAGCACCACCAATCAGCATTTCCGTGAATTTTGGGCTCACCAAGGAGTTGTTATCAAGTTGTTGAAGGATCAAGATCATTGACGTTGGGTTATGTTAAGAATAGAAGGACGTGGCTGGGTTTGAGGCAACAAAAACATCATCTTCCCATTCCTTCTAGGAGTCACAAGAATCAGCAGGAACAGACCAAGATATTGTGGGGCATGGATGGATTCTTCTGTCAACTTGTCATTCTTCCCAAAGTATCTGTATTGCGAGTCAATGCCCTTGTTTTGGGCGCTCCACGTTGGTTTGCCTGTAAACATTTTTTAGTGGAGGAGCTTCTTTCTGTATCTCATTCTCTATTTTGTTAAATCTTAAGTTCAATCCTGCTCTTAATCTGTGCTTATATTGAATTGGTTTGTGTCTATGGTGAAACTGGATAAACGGATTAAACAGTAAAATCACAATCACACACGTAGCACAAATGCTTGAGTAGTTCACTCATGAGATATGCAAAACCCAACTCTAAGTTTTGTGTTTCAATGAGACTCTAAGTTGAGGCACTACTAAAGAAAACGGAAATTTGTATAAATATCACCTGAATTTTTAGGCATATGCACCATTACTAGAACTTTTATTTTTTATTATTAACCACCTAAACTTTAGAGTGTGTTGTCTTAATCCATTAAACTTTCCGTTAAGTTTAAGGGCAATTCCGTCAATTCAATATAACTAAAAAACTTAACATTTTTACAATTAACATAATTTATAAATAATAATTCCTTTATATTTTTTTTTCTTTATGAAAACCTAACCTAAATTATCCCAGAGTTTCTCCCATTCCTTCCAACACTAATTTTTCACCCTTGCCCAATAGACCCCTCTGCCATCTAAGAGCATCCACAATAGGAGGGTGTATGTTAAATATACACCCCTTGTTACTGGAATCGTCTCCAATGGGGAGATGTAAAGGGTTGTAAATATGCATCACCACCATGGAGATATAAAATAAAATGTACATTTACATCTTTTGCAGGCGGGACCCACCCGAGAAAAGATAAGAAAATAAAGAAAAGTCAGCATAAAAGGCTGGGACCCGTGGCTACAATAATTGCTGGAAAAAAAATTCACATGCGGGGCAATTTTTTGTTGTCATGTTCCCCCCCACCGGCTAGTTTGCAACAACCAATTGAATTTGCAATAGCCAGTAGGCAACAGTTTTTTTTTTAATGAAGTATTCCGAATTTAAATATTTTTAGGTCTATTTATTTGAAAAAATAAAATTAACCTAATACAAAAAAAATAATTAATTAATTTTATAAAGTAAACACAAAATACAAATTTAACACAAAAACGAATTAAGACAAACAAAACAATTATACATCTTAGATTTACATATTTCCCATTTGAGCAAAAAACGTATTTACACCCACCCACTGTAGATGCTCTAACATCCTGCCTTTTGAGGATATGGATTTCATGGCTCATTCCAAATAGATTTCTTCAAATCTCTAAATTAATCCTTCAATTATTTTTTTATTTATTTTTTCATAAAGTGAAGTTTTATTCAAAAGTCAACGGAAATACATGAAAAACCATATAAGAAAGAGCAACATAATACAAAAAACTTAATCCATTAGGGGGCAAGGAATCCCATATCTAGACAGTACCATAACTAGTGAAAGAATAGGCTGATTAACCCATCTGAGTAGTGCACCCTCGAGTTGGCCTTCAACTCTTCAACAACCCACGCCAAATATTTTATAGATTCAGTGGAGAGAGAGAGATAGAGATCGAAAGTAGGTTGTATGCATAGGGTGGGGGGAGGAGGCTACTGGGCAATGTGGAAGAAATTGTGTTGGAAGGGGTGGGGGACGACAAGTAGGTTAGCTTTTTTTAATAAAAAATTTTAATTTTTTAATTTTGTTAGTTTTAAAAATGTTAAGTTTTTTAGTTATAGTGAATCGACGGAATTGTCCTTAAACTTAACAGAAAGTTTAACTAAGTTATACATAAACAGTACATTGCAACACTCTAAAGTTTATGTGGTTAATAATAAAAATTAAAAGTTCAAGTGGTAATAGTGCACATGCCTAAAAGTTCAAGTGGTATTTATGAAAATTTCCCGAAAGAAAAAGATTTTTTTTTTTTTTTTTTTTTTTTTTTTTTTTTTTTTTGTTTTAGAGTTCATTAGAAACTTACAAAATGGCACAAATATACAACATACAAGTAAGACTCAACAAACCGAGCTTAGTATCAACGCAACAAGGCCAGAAGGCAAAATGCCCACAACAAGCACAAGGCCATCAATGTGACAACAAAAGAAATGATTTGGTTCCCTACACAACCTAAAAAAAATTGGGTTCCCTATACAACAAAAAAGATTGGGTTTCTAATGAAGTCTAAGTTTTTTGGTGTAATGGATCTGGTTATACTTTGGAAGGTTTTTTTACTGTATTGGTTGGGGCTTATTGTTCTAGTGAGAGCTGATGTTCTCAAAAGAAGCTATAAGCTACTTGGGCTTAAACCTGCCATATGCAACCACCTAGAAGTGTAGCCCAAACACACTTCCACCTCCGACAAAGGAAGATAGTGGAGTATGAAAATGATAATGTGTAATGGAAGATAGGAAGACTTTTTCCAGTCTTACTATTGTCACCATCTGAAAACCATTGAAAGTTCAAAAGTTTATTCCCATGAAAAGGTTACTGGAAAGTTTTGATAGCAAGTTAGAAATCATCATTTCCGTCTTCATCGTTCTCTTCGGAGAATGATAAGCATATCCGACAATCTTTAGTATCGAATCGCATATTTACTTATCTGAAATGAATATTGAAATGATTTTGATTTCTGATTCTCTTTGTTTACTAACATATAGGTATTATAATTATTACGAAACTATCATATTGCATTCTTAATTTTATGTTTTTTTGTCGTTTGTGGTCCTCGAGGTTAGTATGTGTGATCACGAATAGTCCCTGCCGTTAGGTTTTATCAAAAACTTCGTTAGTTTGCTGACTGGCATATATATATATATATATCACAAAACATCCCTAAGAAATATGCACCTATCACAAATGGTCCATGCGAAATTTTTTATTTTTTAAATTATTTTAAAATATATATTGTATTTTAAATACATGTGACACTATATTTTTGAAGATGTTGGCTCCACATATATGCCATATCAACAAACTAATGAAGTTTTTAAAAAATAATTTTAAATTCATAAAATATAAAAATGAAAAAAATCATTTATAGAAGGATTTTAACCTTGAGGACCATTTATGAACCCTAAATCTTTGGTTTTTTAATTTTTTACTTTTATGAATTTTAAATTATTTTTAAAAAATTCCAATAGGTTGTTGATGTGGCATATATGTGGAGCCCGCATTTACAATAATATAATGTCACGTGTATTTAAAATAGAATATATATTTTTAAATTCAAAAATTTCATATGAACTATTTGTGATTGGTGCGTAAACCTCAATGATGTTTTATGAAATATATATGTCACGTCAGCAAACTAATGGAGTTTTTTACGGAACTTAAAGGCATAGACCATTTGTGATTACATATAATAACCTTAAGGACCACAAATGACCCGAAAAAACATTAAGGATGCAATCTGATAGTTTTATAAACTTTAAATACATTTTGTGATATTAAGCCTTGTTATAATTCATAAAATTATGTATGTTCCACACGTTAAAATCCGTTTTGTGATATTAAGCATTACTATAATTCATAAAATTATGTATGTTCCGCGTTAAAATCCGTAATATTAGACCCCTAAAATTATTAATTACAGACTGAATCGAGCGAGTACTTGTCTCATACTTCTCCCATTCCAAGTAACTAGAAACCAAATCAAATAATTGAAGATTTGGCCGACCGCCATCCAGATTCTCCGCACTTAATTCATCCCATTAACACTCGAATAAAAAAATTGCAGTACATTAAATAATAAATTAAGCTCACCACCGGAAAGTGTCCCTACTGGTTGGTGGCAAAAGATATTTTCATTAATTAATTAGATTCTAAACTCATAAATCTCAAAGATTCCCCACCGATTGGTGCCGAGACATTTTCAATGCCATGCAGACGGTCCAATGATTAAAAAGATAAGCATAGATAGAATAACCCAATCAAAAAATTTCAAATAAGCATAAACATGAACGGACAAATCATATACCAGTTACTTGGTATTGAAGTTACTAGATTAACCTCGAGACTTCGTTTCGAATTATTACACTTGCATTCAATTCCGTACGGGCATTATTGAAAATTAAACCCTTCAAACCTTGTATAATAATTACTGTACCAATACAAATAAATTAGTAAAATTTACCACAACTTATTTACGTACGAATGAAGGCAGAGGTTTTAACATGGAATTTACTGATCTAATAGATCTGAAATATTACCTTAATTAATTTTATATTTTAAAACAGGTGAAATGAAATTTGCTTGCATTTTGTAGAGGAAAATTTAAAATTAAAGAACACAGGAGATATGCGAACGAAGAACTATACTTCATTTCTCAAACACCATTTTTTTTTCTTCGGAAACAAAAATACAGGAAAAGTAACATAGTCATCGATCAAAATTATCGAGCGCAAAGAACACACCACCATCAAACTAGAGAGATTCAGAGAACCAGATCCAGAAACCATCTAAACCCTAAAACATACCAAAAAAGCAACACTAAATTCCCAAACCCTAACCCTAAAATTTAACTCCTCCAGCTGCCGCCTTCAGAGCCACCGCTGCCCCTGGAATAGCGAGCGCCGCCGCCCTCACCACCTCCATAACCACCTTCACGACGGCCACCACCGCCATATCCACCGCCTCCACTGCCATATCCACCACCGCCGCCTCCACGGCTGTAGCCACCACCGCCGCCTTCACGTCGGCCGCCACCTCCGTAGCCACCGCCGCCGCCATATCCTCCACCGCCACCTCCGCGGCTGTAACCTCCTCCGTTACCGCCACCACCACCGCCGCTTCCACGAGATTGAGCCTCGTTAACGGTGATGTTGCGGCCGTCGAGGTTCTGGCCGTTCATGCCTTCGATCGCGTCCCTCATGGCCTTCTCGTTGCTGAAGGTGACGAAGCCGAAGCCCCTGGACCTCCCGGTCTCACGGTCGTTGATGATCTGAAAACACAAAAACGAACCAAATCGAATCAGATCCGTCCATATAATAATAACAAATACACAAAATAAGCGAAAATGAAAAGGAACCGATCGATCTTCAATCTTTGGGAGAGAAAGATGAAGATGAACGTACCCGATCTTGAGAGTGAGTAATAATAAGAATCATATAGTAACAGAGAATCATAGATCAAGTAACATAGAGAAACAGAAGATCAAGTAGCAGAGAGAGAACAACAGATGGCCGCTAGGCCGAATCGGGTCAGATCCGATCTCTGCGTCAAACGGACCTTCGATTCGATGATCTCACCGAACGGAGAAAAGGCCCTCTCCAGCGCATCATTGTCGGTGGCCCAGGCGAGCCCTCCGACGAAGCAACGGAACTCGATCTCGGCAGAGGCCATTGCTAAAAAGTAACCGGAGAAAAGAGAACTGGAATTTTTGTGAAGGAAGAAGAGAACAAGAGAGCACGAAGGACAGGTATGCCCAAAGCCTCGTTATATAGAGCTCCTTCGCCCTCAACTAGGGTTAGCTTGTTTGGTTACTCGGGTTCAAAGCCAAATCTATGATGTTTGGTTACGGGATTAATAATATCTCTATCCCGGTTTTGAAATCATTATCTGGACACGTCATCGTGTTTGGTATGTTTTTTCGCTGCGTGATTTGTTTGTTTCGGAGTTATTTATCCTCGTTTCCAAACGGGGAGGGGATAGAGCCGTGGCATTCGGTGCGTTACGGACTCTGGTTGAAAACGATAAAATAATAAATAATGAAAAAATGACTGGGACGGGTTATGGGTGGGTTCCACTCATCACATGATTGTACCCGCTGAGATATTTTACTGCTTGGAAAATATCTCGCAAGTGTAAGTACGGGATTACCCTTGTCTTTTGTAAGGAATTGCTTGTGTGGCCCTCGGTTGGTATCTCCGCGCCTCTGACCCTTTTTTGTTTTTTTAATACTTGGCGCTGTCGATATGGAGAAATTCTTAACGGATATGCACCTGTGATCACATCATGGGCCTCACATGGAGATACTATTGTATGTGATAATGCCCAAGTCTAAATTATTGGTGATCTCGAAAATATTGGTAGTCTAAAAATATGAAAATTTCAATAGAAATATCGGGATATTATTGATATCGATAAAAATTAAATAAAAACCACGGAAATTGTAAGAAAATTTTGGAAATTTTTATTGAAACTTTGGAGGATGCTTATTTAGTCAATTATCTATTAGTTTATCACAAAAAATTGGAAGAAAATGCATTGCATGATGGATTTAAATAATTTAAGTTGATTATATAACGAGCTGACAAACATTGTAAGTATAGAAAATATGTAGTAATTAATGAAATAAGATTAAACACACTACAATCATTTATATATAATGATTTACTACAATATTTTACATTTTATACATTGCATGGTAAGATACATAAGTGACTTGGTACCACATAGAGTTCCTATGATGTTCAAATTTTTCACTATCTTCATCATCTCTATGTGTAGAGTAAGTGTATTGTGAAAAGTAGTTATCAAATGATATACATGTAATATACATGTGTGAACTTTGTCAAAGTAAAAAATGTAAGGTACATCATTTTTTACATGTCCATGTCTCAATATTCAAAAGAAAAAAGAACTTACCACTTGGACTCCACAATACAAAGCAAACAAAGGATGACTAATTTTACAAGAGGAAACACCTTGAATCCTCTTTGTTTTTTTTTTTCCCCCTCCCCTTCTTTTTTTTTCTTTCTTTTTCTTTTCATTACATCGATATTTTTGATATTTTAGTGATATTGTAACAAAATATTGCTGAAGTGTGAGCGAAATTATTGACGTTGATATTTTCCGATATTATCGTCGATATTCTCGATATTTATACGATATGTGCATGGATATGTTTTGAAATATCCGTAATTCAAAAAAATGATAATATCCTCGATATTTTGTCGATATTATCGATATTTTAGACTATGATAATGCCTAGTGGTATTATTTTACGTGATTACAATGGGTGGTGTTACTAATTTATTCATATTTTAAATTTACAGTCGAACGTTGGTTTTAGATTTTTATAAGAACAAGGACATTTAAAAGGGTTTTGTAATTCAAATGGTTACACCACCATTAATGGCATTTGTTGGATTGGCTCAGGTCTTTAATGTGATCCCAAGTAGTTATGGATTCAAATCTCCATAATATTCGAGGGTGTGAATTTCTCCCTCCACTTTTTAACTTTGACAAACAAAAAATACTCAAATGGTTACACATTTGGACCGAAAGTTATATATTTGAATTTCTCTCCCCCATATTGTTTGTATCTAAAGACAAATAGGAAAAATCGGATGCTCTGTGCGGTGCCACCACTTTCGCCGCCCTATAGTCGACCTGTTTCTCATACAGTCGGTAGGTTTCTTTACATGAAATTTTTTAATTAATTTTTTTATTTTATGATCTGCAGGTCCAATCAGAGTTCTTGTTCATTGATTGACATTATGGGCTCTTATGTATTCTTGGCTATATATGGGCCTTTTGATGTCAGTTTTTATGATTTGATTGGAGAGAAGTGAACCTTCCTAAGGCCTAGCCCAAGATTGTTATAAAATTACAGGTCTGGTATTTGGGTTTTAACTTCGAATCACAAATACGTGCCCATATCATAGTCACCCACAACAAATACATGCATAACGCATTTCCAAATGCCCTTTCTAAGCATGTGCCTTATCTACGATATGCTATTTATCCAATGTAGGATCTTGAGTCCTAACATTTTATATAAACTAGTCAATAATTCCAAACACAAACATCCTTAATGTATACAAACAACGTAAAAATGATAGATGGTGATAGCGTTCTAAGCTCGAATCTCCCGTCTTAATAAAAAGAAAAGATAAAAAACCACAGTTCTTTTATGCTTCGCCTCAAGTACGACAAACCTTTATTCGGGTCGGGCTCTATGCCTCTTTAAGTTTCAAATAACAATATGATCCCAACCCAACCCATCTAAATTCTTAAGCCCATCTAGTTCTGCAGTTGAGGCCAGGAAATAACATAGAGAATTTGGGCCGGCCGAGTTACCCAATTAACATTTTTTCGGGTCAATATGCAGCCAAATGGAAATTTGATTATTTGCTTAAATTTGGTTCTGGCCACCCAACAAAACAATTACAGTAAAACAAATCTGCCAATTGTATGAAGGTAACTCCACAGTAAATCTTTCACGTGCACCAGTTGGAGTTATATATATATATTTTGTTCTCAACCACTATCCATGTGTGTTACTTTCAAACCTCCATCATGAAAGTGTAGAATAATGGAAGGGACTTTAGGTGTTGAAGAAGAAAAGGGACCAGTGAAGTGATGAGTTGGGTGCCACGTAAGCACTACCTGAAAACCCTACTCATAACACTTTTTTAATGGTAATTCTTTTTGTTTTACACTGATATTGATATTCTGATTTGTCTTGACAAACATAATAAACTTCAAGTTGCTGCAAAAACCAAGTTGGTTGTGCATGTGCAAATGAATATACAAAAAGTTTCTTTTGTTTTCTTTACACCTAAGCACACACGTACGGATATACGTATAGACAATACTAAACCGTCTCCCACATGGCATTATTACATCATAGTTATGTTTTCAATAGTGTGCATATAAAGTGTCAAATAATTGTGTTATATACAATATTTCACCCTCGATCGTTACATACAAGTCTATATAATATAGAATTTCATATTCGCGGTTGCAATCGGATCTATTCATTAAACATAATCAATTAATAACATTTCTTATCTACCCAGAGGTGTTATGTTTGGATTTGAATCCACTGAATGGATAAGTCGTCTATCCCTAATACATACTAGAGTGATATTGTCTCACTATAGTGCATAATCCAATATGATAATGCGATGATATTGACTTGTCTATGCGTTACATTCCTCAACACTCCACTCTCATAAATTCAAAATCTTATAAACAAATAGATTGACCACAATCAAGAGATTAAAGATAATGACACATTGATTTTTTTTTCATTTGTTCAATCTTAGTTTCAACATAAAACAAACAAACATTTTGTGAGTACTTTTTTTGTCATAGAAAAGGGATAAGCAACGGGGTCAAACGTTTGTGTAACTGATTTGTATGATTGATTGACAATCTAATTTTATTTTACAAATTTTTTATGTTTATGGGAAGTTGGCCTTCTAATTAATGTAATGTGCATTTACGTGATTTATACACAATCATTAAGTTCTATAATTTTGTTAAAATACACGCTGATTAAGTTAATATAAAAGGAAAAATTACACAAAGCATTGGAGCAAGTCCTTTGGCAGAAAATAATATGGGCCCCATTAATTCCAATTATTGATCATAAAATGATGTGTTGATCAATTTAGAGTTATTTACACTAACTCCCCTTGAGGTTTTCGGTTTTTTTCACAAAACCTCTTGAGATTTTAGAAATTAAACAAACACTCCTTGAGGTTTCAAATTGTTTTCACAATACCTCTTTGCATTGTTTTTTCATCCAAAGATTGTTGATTTTAAATATATAAAAAAGGTATATGAATGACAAAGTCAGCCTTTTAGGTTAAATCGCACATACATTCATTGACCTCTTTTCTCTAGAGAACACATTCATTTAGGTTAATTTTTTCATTTGCATAAGGTTTATTTATTTATTTATGAAATCATTTATTTTTGGACGATCAATCAACGAACAGGATTTTGTTAAAGCAATTTGAAACTTTAGAGAGTGTTTGTGTAATTTTTTGAAACCTCAAAGAGTTTTGTGAAAAAACCAAAAATCTCAGTAAGTGTCAGTGTGAATAACTCATCAATTTAAACCTCCTCCTACCCCTTTAACCTTCCGTAACCGCTGTGTTGTTGTTGGGTGATTAATTATGATAATCAGAATTTCTGCCAAACCTCATAAATTTTGTATCCCCAATATCGAACCATCTCCCCATCCACCACCAGTTATATGGCCCTTATGTCCATTTCTGGTGAAACACGGCCATGAATGTTTGCCGATATGTTTGCCCCACCCTTCTAAAGGACATCATAATTATTGTGATGGGCAGTGTGGTTCCTACATGTGGAATATTGGACATTCCCTTTAAAAGAAGCAATAAATAAAAAAAGGAAGTAAAAAGGAGGACTTAATCCATATGATTTTGTTGCTACAAAGACTCAATATATAATGTATACATATAACATGAATTTTTCTTCTATGTTAAGGATGTTATTAGTATAAGAAAAGTGCAATTTCAACAATTGGAATCGTCTATACTCAAGTTTCCTTACAGATTTTCATTATTTCAATTTTTAGCAATTGAAGATTTCAGTGGTTGCATTTATATATGTCGAATTTTGTAAATGACACTATGAAA